TTTACAAATACTAAACCGGTTTTTTCAACTATTGCGCACAGAATGGAGGATAACTTGCAACATTTACGAATAATCTACGATGATGTCATTTGTAAAAAATGCAATTGGTTATATTTCTGAATCTCTATTATTCTTAGAATCTGTCTGTGTTGTGGGTATTTATTTGAACTCTTACAGAAGAAAACAACAGATTCCTACGTAAGTTAATATATTTAAATTCGTCGCGATAATTTCATTAAAATAGTTTTTGTATGTATCCTATCAAAAAAGTTTAATGCTTATTTGTGAAGAATTAGATTAATCCATTCAGTTAGATTAAATTTAAATATTAAACAGTATTCTTTTGTTAACGTCAAGTAATCGAAACATTGTAATTTATAGGCAGCCAGTTTCTATCTGGTTCTATTTCCATCAATGATTAGGATATGCATTTGTATTCTATTGCCTAGTAATTCGGTTATCTCTCTATTATAAAGGGATATAACTGTAGACAGAGCCAGACTGGAAACAAAATTCAGCCTTAACATCTTATTAATCGACCTTCTTAAAAAGCTTCATTAATTAAAGAAAAATAATACTAACTTTGTAACTAGATTAGTTTGAATATAATACCCGTAGTTTAGAAGTATAAGAGTTATTTTTCCTTATTCTTCCCACTAATAGATATTATAATTACCATTAACGCCTTCTGTTAAAATTATNAATTATCAAAATAATTTAATTTCAAAATAGAACAACTATCATGCTTATTTAATAATTCATCAAAATTAATACCATTATTAACACAAATTTCCCTTGGACTTTTAGAAAATCCATCAATGACTTGCGTAACTTTCTCGGCAAGAATTTTACATTATACTGGAGTCATCTGTTATGAGATTTTGTTATAAAAACTTTATATATTTCTAATTACTATAAAATGGCAAAAAGCTTAATTTTGGTAGTAAGATTAGTTTTATAAGTGTAAATGTCAATAACGCATAATATTTAAGTCCTACCCCTCTCGAAATATGACACATGATCCCCTTTATCTACCCACCCTTTCGAACTTTCATCATAAAAATTTAACAGTATTAATATCCCTCATATACAAGCCACCATGCCAAATTTCATTTCTTAACCTTTACTCCATCCCGAGATATTAAGCGAAATAGACGCCAATACACACACACACACACACATACATATATATCTACCGAATTTTTTGCCTTTTTTGGATTCAAGAGGTTTCAGAACGTGGAGATTTGCAAAATGCTTGGAGGATCAAATTTGACACGATTCTAATACTTTCCCTTGTTATGTATACGTACCAACCGAGAATGTAAAATGCAAAAATCTTAGGGAACATTTTTTGACCGATCGCCATACTTTCCCTTGTTATATATAACAGCAGCGAAAGTAATATCACTTGAGATTAACTACTATTTTTTTAAAAATACTGTTAATTAACGCGCGAGAAAATAAATCTATTTCGTTCCACAATATAAAAATATATAATTTACAATAAATATCTGATACTTTAAAATATATTATTTTCTCGTTATTGATATAATTCATTTATTAAACAATAAATGCTGTGTTTAGTTTTTATTTTATTTCCAATTAAAATGTTCTTTTCAAAAAGCATTTTATTCATTGAACTCCTGCGCATATGAGAATATTTGACCTAAGAACGTTTACTTGTTCTTCTTTGTTTTCGTACGGAAGATGAAATGATTTGACGCAAATTAATATTTAGTCAAGCTGAAAGCCTAGAACTGTGTTATAAATAATATAGAAATAATTTACGTTTTATAATCTAAATAAGTGTGTGTAGCCCTGAGGAAGGACGAAGTCGTACCTCTTTTGGGTCGCTTTACAGGCTGGTTTACTGGTCAGTGGGAAGCCTGCCCACTGACCAGTAAAGCAGGCTTAACCAGCCTGTGAAGGATGGCATGTTTCGTTTAGGATCAGGATTATTTTTGTCAGGTCGAGTGGAGGAGGTTAGAGGGGTCGTCGGTAAGGCGTCGGCGATACACGAGTAAAAGACATCATTTAATAATAGAACAAAATTTTATTAGACAACAACTTAAATAATATAACTAACATTGAGATTTTACAACCTTACACGCGGACCTGGATGTGTGCGCGCCGAGAGAGTTTACAATATTCGTTATCGTACCTCTAGGGTTGCTTGCACAGAGCGACGTAACTTGGATCGGGTGAGATTCGTCTGGAGCCATCCGTGGATTGGGTTCGAACTCGTCGTCCTTTCTTAGCGTCCACACTCTCAAGAACAAATCTTTTCCGGCCTTTGACTCCCCTTTTGTCCCGGTGTGCGCTCTATTTATCTCCCCGATCACGTTATCATTTTTTACCAATCGCAAATTTTTTTCGTTTATTTTCTCGTGACTCATTTACAAGTTCCGGAGGGAAAGGAAGCCACTCCAGGGAAGGAAGAGTGTTCATCCTCCGGTTACAAAATTCGACAATATTTCGAAACAGGGAAAAAAATGGTAGATTTTTTTTTCATCTTTATTCGTCCCGACCCTCACATAATAATTTCACTCTTTATAATTTAGGATTGGACTTGACATTTACATTGCATTTAAACCGGTGTGTTACTGCTAACAAATTTCATAACAAATGGTAGAAAGTGACCACTGGTATGCACTACATGTCGACGTTAAACTTTAATAAAAAATCAAAGAAAACACATCGTATTATATGTGCAAACCTGAATAATAGTTATTTCAACAATTAAATTTGTAAATAAAATTGTCTTAATTGTAAATAATTTTTTATATATGTAATAAAACGTAAATAATAAAATAATTAATTTTAATTTTTGAAATATGCCGTGTTTCTCGTTATGTTCGTTTTCGTTTTCCCATGCGAATATCATCCTGTTCAATTAACTAAATATGAAAGTAANTTCTTAAAAAGCTTCATTAATTAAAGAAAAATAATACTAACTTTGTAACTAGATTAGTTTGAATATAATACCCGTAGTTTAGAAGTATAAGAGTTATTTTTCCTTATTCTTCCCACTAATAGATATTATAATTACCATTAACGCCTTCTGTTAAAATTATGCTTAAAGTGTATATATAAAAGACGTTTCTAAATTTTTCTTTCAATGATATGAAACCGTGCTTTGCAATTTGTTTCTGCTCCTAACACAATGAAGTGTTATAAATTAAGACACTTGGCGGGTGTCTTAATTTATAGCACTTCATTGTGTTAGGAGCAGAGACGTTTCTAAACTTATGCATGTCTTGTATAACATCTGCACCATGTTATCCGGTCGTGGAGAGCATCGGCCTCTCTGACATTTGCAGGAATTGCTAGTTACCCAGTTTAGCCCTAAATGTAGATGCCTCGAACTTATGACAAATATTATCATGTGTAATTAAATGGAGCAGTACGAGTTGATAATTTTATAATATTCGACTTAATGTATGAAAGATTTCTTTAATTTAAGAATATAAATAATATAGCATATTTTAAACTAAATAGCCGAGTTTCGATTTATAATTTTTGAAATGTCATCTACTAGATTTTCTTTTCACAAACATCAAATTATGGGATAAAGTTTGCTCTTTATTTTAACTAAATGAACATTTAATATTTCTCACATTTTTAATCCACTTTTATTTCCTTTCTTCAATTCATTGTGAACTTTCATTTCTTAAAATTTAGTAAATTGCATTTCTTTATTAATATATTGAAATTAAGAAAAAATTTAAATGTTAAATTATTAATTTTCTAAATTTTAAAATACCATAAAATGAAAAACTGTTATAATAAGTCATTATAATATAAGATACCTGTACTATATAATAATTAAATTTCTCCAGAATTCTTGAGAAATCTGACTTTAAATTTATATTCTTGAGAAATGAAACTTATCGAGAAAACAGAAACACTAAAAAATCCATCAATGACTTGCGTAACTTTCTCGGCAAGAATTTTAAATTATACTGGAGTCATCTGTTATGAGATTTTGTTATAAAAACTTTACATATTTCTAATTACTATAAAATGGCAAATGCTTAATTTTGGTAGTAGGATTAGTTTTATAAGTGTAAATGATAATAACGCATAAAATTTAAGTCCTACCCTTCTCGAAATATGACACATGATCCCCTTTATCTACTCACCCTTTCGAAATTTCATCATAAAAATTTAACAGCATTAATACTCCTCATATACAAGCCACCATGCCAATTTTACTTCTTAACCTTTACTCCATCCCGAGATATTAAGCGAAACAGACGCCAATATACACACACACACACACACACACACACACACACATATATATCCACCGAATTTTTTGCTTTTTTGGATTCAGGAGATCTCAGAACGTGGAGATTTGCAAAAAGCTTGGAGGATCAAATTTGACACGATTCTAATACTTTCCCTTGTTATGTATATCAGCATAAAAAGTAAGATCATTTGTCATTAACTAATATATATACAGTATATATATTTTTAAATACTGTTAATTAACGCGCGAGAAAATGGAACGATTTCATTCCACAAAACAAAAATATAATTTCTACATCTTTCATTTATTTTTTCTTTTTGATTAGTCTAATTGATTCCAAGTGCATAGTCAACTAAATCGTTTACTATACTTGCATTAAGAATATAAATTACAAATTCCATATATATCTGCATATTCCCATACAGGGTTTTCCGTCTTACAATGTTCTCCGTAGTGTTTGGACTGTTACTGATAGTTGCGGTCAAATGCCAGGATGTTGATGACCCAGACTACTACACAGCTGCTGTATACGAACAAGTAAAGCACAATTACATAAGTGATCCGACTAAGTTAAACATTGAAAAAAATTTGGCCGCTTATGAAAGAGTTGCAAAGACTGCTGGTCAACACGTAAGTGCAATCAAAATGTGATAATTACTTTTTTGTTTGATACTTAAAGCACACTTAATTCCAGAATGTCGACTTATTGGCTTTTCCTGAATATGGAATCTTCTCATCCACGAAACGAGAAGTTATAATTGACGATGCCCAATATGTTCCCGATCCGAAAATTGAACAATGGAATCCTTGTTTGGAACCCGACAGGTACAACAATTCATATATTTTAGCCAATTTAAGCTGCATAGCTAAGCAAAATAACTTGGTTATTTTNACACACACATACATACATATATATCTACCGAATTTTTTGCCTTTTTTGGATTCAAGAGGTTTCAGAACGTGGAGATTTGCAAAATGCTTGGAGGATCAAATTTGACACGATTCTAATACTTTCCCTTGTTATGTATACGTACCAACCGAGAATGTAAAATGCAAAAATCTTAGGGAACATTTTTTGACCGATCGCCATACTTTCCCTTGTTATATATAACAGCAGCGAAAGTAATATCACTTGAGATTAACTACTATTTTTTTAAAAATACTGTTAATTAACGCGCGAGAAAATAAATCTATTTCGTTCCACAATATAAAAATATATAATTTACAATAAATATCTGATACTTTAAAATATATTATTTTCTCGTTATTGATATAATTCATTTATTAAACAATAAATGCTGTGTTTAGTTTTTATTTTATTTCCAATTAAAATGTTCTTTTCAAAAAGCATTTTATTCATTGAACTCCTGCGCATATGAGAATATTTGACCTAAGAACGTTTACTTGTTCTTCTTTGTTTTCGTACGGAAGATGAAATGATTTGACGCAAATTAATATTTAGTCAAGCTGAAAGCCTAGAACTGTGTTATAAATAATATAGAAATAATTTACGTTTTATAATCTAAATAAGTGTGTGTAGCCCCTGAGGAAGGACGAAGTCGTACCTCTTTTGGGTCGCTTTACAGGCTGGTTTACTGGTCAGTGGGAAGCCTGCCCACTGACCAGTAAAGCAGGCTTAACCAGCCTGTGAAGGATGGCATGTTTCGTTTAGGATCAGGATTATTTTTGTCAGGTCGAGTGGAGGAGGTTAGAGGGGTCGTCGGTAAGGCGTCGGCGATACACGAGTAAAAGACATCATTTAATAATAGAACAAAATTTTATTAGACAACAACTTAAATAATATAACTAACATTGAGATTTTACAACCTTACACGCGGACCTGGATGTGTGCGCGCCGAGAGAGTTTACAATATTCGTTATCGTACCTCTAGGGTTGCTTGCACAGAGCGACGTAACTTGGATCGGGTGAGATTCGTCTGGAGCCATCCGTGGATTGGGTTCGAACTCGTCGTCCTTTCTTAGCGTCCACACTCTCAAGAACAAATCTTTTCCGGCCTTTGACTCCCCTTTTGTCCCGGTGTGCGCTCTATTTATCTCCCCGATCACGTTATCATTTTTTACCAATCGCAAATTTTTTTCGTTTATTTTCTCGTGACTCATTTACAAGTTCCGGAGGGAAAGGAAGCCACTCCAGGGAAGGAAGAGTGTTCATCCTCCGGTTACAAAATTCGACAATATTTCGAAACAGGGAAAAAAATGGTAGATTTTTTTTTCATCTTTATTCGTCCCGACCCTCACATAATAATTTCACTCTTTATAATTTAGGATTGGACTTGACATTTACATTGCATTTAAACCGGTGTGTTACTGCTAACAAATTTCATAACAAATGGTAGAAAGTGACCACTGGTATGCACTACATGTCGACGTTAAACTTTAATAAAAAATCAAAGAAAACACATCGTATTATATGTGCAAACCTGAATAATAGTTATTTCAACAATTAAATTTGTAAATAAAATTGTCTTAATTGTAAATAATTTTTTATATATGTAATAAAACGTAAATAATAAAATAATTAATTTTAATTTTTGAAATATGCCGTGTTTCTCGTTATGTTCGTTTTCGTTTTCCCATGCGAATATCATCCTGTTCAATTAACTAAATATGAAAGTAATCAATGCTTTAGGTATAAAATGAAATGCTCGTTATGACACTCCATTCTCCCCTAAAATCGAAGGCCAACCTTTGCACACAATTATAATTTTTACAGTTTGATAATCTGTTTATGATATGATCCACAATTGAACCAGATTTGTACCAGATTGATATACAGAGGATACCAGGAATTCTGCTTTTGATGGGAAGGGCATTGTATTAACGGTTCGATTTCCACGACGTTATCGACCTAAGTTATGGAACTGATTAAACAATGAATGTTCAACTGTTCAGATTTACCGTCGCCTACCTCTAGACTTTCCTTTTCGCTGCATTCATAATTTTATGAAGTAGTGTGTAAAATGAGTTAAATTTACAAAAAACAATAAAATGATATTTTTATCTTCTAATTGATATCTAGCAACGAATGTTGTATAATTATCACAAAAAGTCAAACTTCTCTTCATTTTAACGGAATTTATTCAAGAGTAAATACAATTGAATGGAGCAGATTCAATATTGAAATATTGATTGTTACTTTTTACCTTATGACGTCTTTGGTTGTTCAAATGACAAAAGGGAAATTGAGTATTATACGAGGTATATACGATCGATAGAGTTTCCAAGAGAGAATTACTTCCCGCCCGTTCTCAGAAATTTTTTCGTTTTCCCGTTCCCGAATATCGAGAAAAATTGGTCAGGAAGGCGAAAAAATCGGCTCCTAGAACCCAGTGATAACCATAATGGAAAATAAATATACTACGCACAATGTATCTTTTAGACATTTTCACTCTTTATGGCTACGTAAACTTACGTTGTATTACAATATTTACACAACCAGAAATACACGCTTGATACCAGAATCAGATAACACATGACCAATTAATTTTAGCTCTTGTAAATCGAACATATTTGATCACGGAGAATAGAAAAAAGTTTGCATTTACACAAAAATCCTGGGTTAAGAAAATAAACATTTATTTACGTAAACACAAACTGTTTGTTCTTCACGATGAATGTGTAGTATGTCTGCATTACACATTCTCTCCTAAAAGTAATAAATTTTAGTAAAAATAAAAGTAATAAATAGTAATAATTTTAAAAATAAATTTAATCGGTAATTTATAAAGCAAAACGATTTTTTTCCATTCTCATAAATGAATATTCTTTACGGTTGTTTGGAAAACATAAATTATGATATATTATATTACAGTATATACATGTGTCTATAAAAAAACAAACGTGAAAGTAATTTACAAATACTAAACAGGTGATTTTCAACTTTTGTATACAGGATATAGATAAAGTTGCTTCATCACAACATCTACGAATAATTTATGATAATGTCATTTGTATGATATGATTGGTTATATTTCTGATTCTCTATTATTCTTGGAACCAGTCTGTGTTGTGGTATATATCTGAACTCTTACAAAAGAAGACACCAGATCCTTGGGTAAGTTAAAATAGTTCTTATTAAAAAATTATCCATTCTTTAGATTAAAATTAAAATATTAAACAATAGTCTTTTGTTAATGTAAGGTAATAGATTCATTGCAATTTATAAGCCAGGCACTTTCTGTCTCGTTCTATTTTCGTCATTGATTAGGATATGTATTGGTAATGTATTATCTACTAATTCGTTATCTCTCAATTACAAAAGGGCGTACTGTAGATGTTTCAAATTTATGACAAACATACTATGAACTAACTAAATGAAGCAGTTATAGCTGATAATTTTAATTAAATTAATAAACCAACTACGAGTTGATCAATTATCCCGGAAATCAAAATTACGTGTGTGGCGTCATCTGTAATGATATTTTATTATTAAAACTTTATTAAAGCTTAATTTTGAGGATAGGAATTAGTTTTATTAAAAATTGTAAAAGCTATTAACGAGTAAAATTGGCATTAAGTCCGATCTTAATCGAGATATGACACACAGAAATTAAGCCTTTTGACATTTTATAGTTCTGTAATTAAAATTATAAAAAGTTTTTTTATAACAAAATCTCATAAAAGATGGCGCCACGCAATTTATTTAATTTGCTTAATTAATAATAAAAAAATTCTTTTTTAGTGAAAGATCATAACAACCGAGAAAGTTACGAAAATCGTTGCTAGATTTATTTATTTATTTATTAAATGAAAATTCTCGAGCGACTTTCAGAAATCTGGATTAAAATTTCTTTTCTCCAGAAACATTTCGTATGGAGAAAACAGAAACACTAATTAAAAATCACCATACAAAAAATATTTCTTTAAACACTATTAATTAACATGTAAAAAATGGATTACTCATTCTACAATACAAAAATATCTAATTTCTGTATCTTTTATTTATTTTTTGTCAATTAGTCTAATGACTCTTGATGCTTAGGCATATAAAATAAACTATAAATTTCAAGTATCATATGTATGTATTCCCATACAGGTTCTTTCGTCTTACAATGTTCTCCGTAGTGTTTGGACTGTTATTGATAGTTGCGGTCAAATGTCAGGATGTCGATGACCCAGACTACTACACGGCTGCTGTACATGAACACGTAAGGAAAGGTAATTACAAAACAGATACGACTGAGGAATTCATTGAAAAAAATTTGGCCGCTTATGAAAGAGCTGCAACGACAGCTGGTCAACACGTAAGTGCAATAAAAATGTGATAATTACTGTTTATTTTTTTGTTTAATAATTAAAGCTTATTGAATTCCAGAATGTTGACTTACTAGTTTTTCCTGAATTTGGACTCTTTCCACCAACGGAAAGAGAAGTTATAATTGACGATGCCCAATACGTTCCCGATCCGAAAATTGAACAATGGAATCCTTGTTTGGAACCCGACAGGTACAACAATTCATATATTTTAGCCAATTTAAGCTGCATAGCTAAGCAAAATAACTTGGTTATTTTGGCTAATATTCTGTCGAAAGTTCCTTGCGACAATTCTACTGATTGCCCGGATGATAAATTCTACGTTTATAACACCAATGTAGCCTTCAATAGAAGTGGACTATTAATAGCACGATATAGGAAAACTCATTTATATTTCGAAGATGGCCTTAACGTCCTTCCAAAACCGGAATTTATTGTATTTTCTACTGATTTTGCCTTAATCGGTACTTTTGTTTGCTTCGATATTGTATGGAAAGAATCAGTTCAAATGGTTGAAAAATATAAACCTGATGCTGTTATATTTTCAACTCTATGGTTCGAATTCATTGAACCAGGAATGAGCGCAGTTCAAGTTCAACAATCTTGGGGAATCGCAAATAACGTCACCATTATAGCAGCTAACAGGCAACAGCTACAGAATGGATCTTTAGGAAGCGGAATGTTTTTTGGAGATACTGGAATCGGCAATTACGTTTATATCGCAGATGGTCAATCCAGACTACTGATCTCTAAAGTTCCAAAAAGAGGCGTTAGACCACCTCAAGAATTCCCGCCTGCAACCATTATTGAATTTGGTGATTTTGCAATAGGAAAATCTAATAACAATATATCTTCTGGAGTATGTTCTACGAAAATACTAGGATTCCCATCAAACTACAAGGATTTCAGATGCCAGGATTATGACCTCAGTAACTTTACGTTAGTTAAAGTGAATGCGGAAAATCACGTGGAAGCTTGTAATAATGGACTTTGCTGTAGCGCTAGTTATAAAGTACAGTTATCGGACGAAGACTATTATCTGGCAGTTTTCAATGGAACTTATACAGCTTTCGAAAGATATACATGGTGGATAGAAGCTTGTTTTTTTGTGCGCNCCTAAAAGTAATAAATTTTAGTAAAAATAAAAGTAATAAATAGTAATAATTTTAAAAATAAATTTAATCGGTAATTTATAAAGCAAAACGATTTTTTTCCATTCTCATAAATGAATATTCTTTACGGTTGTTTGGAAAACATAAATTATGATATATTATATTACAGTATATACATGTGTCTATAAAAAAACAAACGTGAAAGTAATTTACAAATACTAAACAGGTGATTTTCAACTTTTGTATACAGGATATAGATAAAGTTGCTTCATCACAACATCTACGAATAATTTATGATAATGTCATTTGTATGATATGATTGGTTATATTTCTGATTCTCTATTATTCTTGGAACCAGTCTGTGTTGTGGTATATATCTGAACTCTTACAAAAGAAGACACCAGATCCTTGGGTAAGTTAAAATAGTTCTTATTAAAAAATTATCCATTCTTTAGATTAAAATTAAAATATTAAACAATAGTCTTTTGTTAATGTAAGGTAATAGATTCATTGCAATTTATAAGCCAGGCACTTTCTGTCTCGTTCTATTTTCGTCATTGATTAGGATATGTATTGGTAATGTATTATCTACTAATTCGGTTATCTCTCAATTACAAAAGGGCGTACTGTAGATGTTTCAAATTTATGACAAACATACTATGAACTAACTAAATGAAGTAGTTATAGCTGATAATTTTAATTAAATTAATAAACCAACTACGAGTTGATCAATTATCCCGGCAGTAATCAAAATTACGTGTGTGGCGTCATCTGTAATGATATTTTATTATTAAAACTTTATTAAAGCTTAATTTTGAGGATAGGAATTAGTTTTATTAAAAATTGTAAAAGCTATTAACGAGTAAAATTGGCATTAAGTCCGATCTTAATCGAGATATGACACACAGAAATTAAGCCTTTTGACATTTTATAGTTCTGTAATTAAAATTATAAAAAGTTTTTTTATAACAAAATCTCATAAAAGATGGCGCCACGCAATTTATTTAATTTGCTTAATTAATAATAAAAAAATTCTTTTTTAGTGAAAGATCATAACAACCGAGAAAGTTACGAAAATCGTTGCTAGATTTATTTATTTATTTATTAAATGAAAATTCTCGAGCGACTTTCAGAAATCTGGATTAAAATTTCTTTTCTCCAGAAACATTTCGTATGGAGAAAACAGAAACACTAATTAAAAATCACCATACAAAAAATATTTCTTTAAACACTATTAATTAACATGTAAAAAATGGATTACTCATTCTACAATACAAAAATATCTAATTTCTGTATCTTTTATTTATTTTTTGTCAATTAGTCTAATGACTCTTGATGCTTAGGCATATAAAATAAACTATAAATTTCAAGTATCATATGTATGTATTCCCATACAGGTTCTTTAGTCTTACAATGTTCTCCGTAGTGTTTGGACTGTTATTGATAGTTGCGGTCAAATGTCAGGATGTCGATGACCCAGACTACTACACGGCTGCTGTACATGAACACGTAAGGAAAGGTAATTACAAAACAGATACGACTGAGGAATTCATTGAAAAAAATTTGGCCGCTTATGAAAGAGCTGCAACGACAGCTGGTCAACACGTAAGTGCAATAAAAATGTGATAATTACTGTTTATTTTTTTGTTTAATAATTAAAGCTTATTGAATTCCAGAATGTTGACTTACTAGTTTTTCCTGAATTTGGACTCTTTCCACCAACGGAAAGAGAAGTTATAATTGACGATGCCCAATACGTTCCCGATCCGAAAATTGAACAATGGAATCCTTGTTTGGAACCCGACAGGTACAACAATTCATATATTTTAGCCAATTTAAGCTGCATAGCTAAGCAAAATAACTTGGTTATTTTGGCTAATATTCTGTCGAAAGTTCCTTGCGACAATTCTACTGATTGCCCGGATGATAAATTCTACGTTTATAACACCAATGTAGCCTTCAATAGAAGTGGACTATTAATAGCACGATATAGGAAAACTCATTTATATTTCGAAGATGGCCTTAACGTCCTTCCAAAACCGGAATTTATTGTATTTTCTACTGATTTTGCCTTAATCGGTACTTTTGTTTGCTTCGATATTGTATGGAAAGAATCAGTTCAAATGGTTGAAAAATATAAACCTGATGCTGTTATATTTTCAACTCTATGGTTCGATTTCAAGGAACTAGGAATGAATGCTGTTCAAGTGCAACAATCTTGGGGAATCGCAAATAACGTCACCATTATAGCAGCTAATAGGCAACGTCCAGATTATGGATCTTTAGGAAGCGGAATGTTTTTTGGAGATACTGGAATCGGCAATTACGTTTATATCGCAGATGGTCAATCCAGACTACTGATCTCTAAAGTTCCAAAAAGAGGCGTTACACCACCTCAAGAATTTCCGCCTCCAATTATTATTGAATTTGGTGATTTTGCAATAGGAAAATCTGATAATAATATATCTTCTGGAGTATGTTCTAGGAAAATACTAGGATCCCCATCAAACTACAAGGATTTCAGATGCCAGGATTATGACCTCAGTAACTTTACGTTAGTTAAAGTGAATGCGGAAAATCACGTGGAAGCTTGTAATAATGGACTTTGCTGTAGCGCTAGTTATAAAGTACAGTTATCGGACGAAGACTATTATCTGGCAGTTTTCAATGGAACTTATACAGCTTTCGAAAGATATACATGGTGGATAGAAGCTTGTTTTTTTGTGCGCTGCGATTCCTATAAAGGGAAGGCGTGTTCCACCTTTCCTACAAAAGCTAGCACTGTCTTTGAAGAGCTTAAAATCGAAGCTAATTTCACCACTCCATATGTCTATCCCAGTATTTCTATTAGCGGCCTACAACTAGCTCCGAAAAAGAATTGGGTTTACAAGAACCATAAATTACATTTCAAAACAGAATCTGACAGCCTCTTACTTGCTACTTTATTCGGAAGATCTTACGATAGAGATCCGGAGTAATTTTTCCAGCTTTATTATTTCTTATTTTTATATAATATATGAATATTTTTATACTTTGAGAAAAAGAGGATGATAGAGCTTGTTACGGACTTAGGAGTGGTTCGAGCGCAATTGTTTTAAAATTGCTATTTTCAAAGAAATTTTTTAAAATATCGAATTAAAACAGCAAAAGATGTACGTATTAGAAGGCCAAACTAGTATTGCATCAACGTCTCGTTATAGTCTGCCTACAAATGATAAGATGCACAAGAAATGACAAATTATTTTAGGAATTGGTTTAAATATAAAAATATAATCGCATTTAACATTTTACAGACGATTGATTTTTTGTCCCGTACTAAGATTAATCTTAGACGAAAATTTTGTGACATTTGCTATGGTAAAATGTTTAAAATTATACTCATTAGACGTAAGGTTTTTGTATCAAAGTTTTAAGCAAGTACAGTATTTCATAAGTACAAGATAGCTTGAAAAGTTTCCAGAATTATGCTGGGTTAGTCAATTAAAGGCAATAAAAAAGGGAGCATGCAATGCATGTCTTAGTTAAACATGCCAGGAATAGAGAAATGTGTTGAAACAAATCCGTACTCGCTGCAAAGATGACAACAGTTACTGTTCACTGATGGTCGTGTTAGTGAAACGACGTGGACAGAGTGTCGCGGAAATGTCTGTGAAAGATCTATGTGCAAATATCAAATTTATGTGTTATAGAGAAAACCCTCTGAGACCTTGAAGATACTTCAGTATGCCTACGTTGAATCTGCCACGAAGCATTCTCAAGTTTATGACTGGCAAAAACGCTTTCGTGAGGGACGAGAACGTATTGCTGATGACTTGTGAAGTGGTCGTCCGTCGACGTCAATGTCAGAGGAGAAAGTGTTGATGTACTCGAGATTGTGAGGTCAGACAGATAGCAGTCAATTGAGCAGATCGCTAAGAGAGCGGGAAATTCGGTTGGAAGTTGCTATTCCATCCTGCATGATCTCGCAAGATGGAATTGAACATGCACCGACCGTGTTTACCCACACATAGTGTCACGAATGCTCACGGCGAATCTAATGCGATTTCTTCCTCTTCTCCCAGTTGAAAGATGCCATCAAGGGACGCCACTTCAAGAATGCGGATGAGGTTATACAGAGTGCGACATCTGCGTTGCAGGGCTGTCGCGAGACGACTTCCAAGAATGTTTTTCAGCTATATCAGCATTGGCAAAAGTGTGTGGTTACCAATGTGGTTACTTTAAAAGACACGTTGCTTGATTTCTCAATTGCACACATACTTTTGAGTAAAAATAAATTCCGGAAACTTTTTGAAGCTACCTTGTAAATATATATTATTCAATTATTTGTATACTGTATTATAAGTTATAAGAATTTCTGGACAATATAAAAATATGTATTACATTGTATTGTCAAAAGAAGAATGCGAATTTTTGACTATTCATTGCTTTATACAGTATATAATTGTTTCTCAAAAATAACAACTTTTCGAATGCAACTCGACACTTGACGTAAGTATATTAATTAATAGATTAATTACATTCTTATTCGCTGAAATCCGAGCCTTCAAACTGCTAAAATGATTTTTATTTATTCATCGAAGTTCACTACAGTGTTTTTTCCCAGTTATCCACATAATCTTGCTACCAGAAGAGCCTCTGTGTTAGTAAAATTTCGAAAACTATTTTCGAGTTAAATTATATCCGATCTAATTAATTACTCGTTTAATTTTTCTTTTCAACGATTATCGATGACTTTTTATTAGGGGTAACTGTATCATATTTCGCCCATGTACTTTATACCGCCTGGCGCTATGGAGATCAAACCGGAGCACCAGTTACAAAGCTTCTATTGGGGAGAGTTAAGACATAAGGAATATACGGATGCTCCCCTACTTACAAACGAGTTACGTTTCCAAGGTTTTATCGTAAGTCGAAAAGTAACCTAGAAATTTGTACATAGAATAACCACTTATTATTAGTGTTTGATCCTTCAATGTACAGTACTTAATAGAATACATTATGCTTGTTTACCCGCTCACTACTGCTTACTAACGGGTGTTTCAAACGCCTAATGCACTTAATTTTATAATGTCTAGTTTAGTTTCTATAGTAATAGAGAGGCAATTCTTGCATTTATCTCCACTTCTAGATTTACTATTACGTTTTGGACGCATTTTTGAAGCACTAATCGTAAAAGTTAATAAAAATTGCAAACAATAGCGGAAAACTCCTTTACTCCAACGTTACCAATGTCGCCGTCATCTCACGAGCATCTAATGAGACTAGAAATAAAATAAAACAAGTTTCGTTAATAGTACATAACTATAAGCTTTATTATAACTTAGACAAATAATGTGAGTTCTAATTATTTAAAATTTATTTTATATATAATAGAATTGCCCGTTTGTCTGTCCTATATACACTTCTAAACCCTTCGATTGATATGCGCCCGTATTTGACCTTCATCGGTACAAATCAAATGTCGGTTTTATTCTAGTAGTCTAGAACAAAAATTTTTAAAACATTCTAGAATAATATTTTAAATGTTGATAGCCAGGTGTCTGAAGTTATAAATAAATGAAAATATACACGTATAAAGCATATATAAAAATAATAATAGAAATATAAGAACCAGTAATAATAACTAAGTATAAGTACGAGCGTAACTCCCCAATGTGCATGCGATGAGTTCATCTAGTGTTACTTGGAGTATATTTCAAAAAAAGCTCTCTACGCCACGGGTATAGCATCAGATAGTGCCTCGGCCGAAACAACTAAAAAGATTAGAAATCTACAAAGCCTTTGGGAGAGAGACGATAGTTAACTTCAAGGAGACAGACTTTATTTCGTCAGGCTGGAGAGCGTATAAAAAGTTATAAGTAAAGGTTTCTTCCAATAGTGAGAGTAGTAATATTAATCACGTCTTTCTTAACTCCTCATTACCTCTTAGAAAGATTTTAACTTCAATATTGTGGTTCATAACATGACAAAAGTCAAAATGTAATTTTTCATCGTAAATATTTTCACAAGTTGAAGCCAAAGTTTTCACAAACAAACTATAACTAAGAGCAATTATTTATTGTGACATCGTCTTAATACCGGGCTGCAATTTTTAATAATATTTTAAAATCATTTAATTCAAAATATATCCTCTCCACCTCAAATTAGTAGTGATTTGCCCCTGAACATCATACTTTTCCTTTACAATAGAGTCGTGCCGGTCATCTATTAACTGCTTTCGGGAGCAGGGAAGTTTTGAATTGAGAAAACGTGACTTCCGGTTTGCATCGAAAGTTCATCTTTAGTTAATTGGGTCCTGCTGTCCCTAAAGTTTCCATTTCTCGGATTTCATCTAACTGTCGTCCATCCGTCTGTCTCTCCGAGATTAAGACAGACGGATGGACGACACTGGGAATTTATAGTTTACAATTTTTATCAAATTGCTACTGATAGATTCGAATTAACTGATTGGAATGCTTAGAACAGTGATTCTCAAACTTTTTCGATCCACCGCCCCCTTTGTTCCATAAAGTTATACCCAACGCCCCCTAACCCATTTTCTCTTGTGTGAGAAAAGGATTGGAAATATTCTTAGGAAAACTTTTCTATGAATCTCACACTTTGTGCCCTTACTGTACATTGTTCTCATCATCTGGAAACCATTAAACGNAGAAAAATTATCCTTATCCTACCAACCCATTGGATATCAAAACCTTTTTCCTTAAGAATAAAGACATAAAGAAATATGGAACAAATTTTTGTAAACTCTCTCTCGGTCCTTCGCGTTTCAGGGACTCAGATTTATCCCTTTGAAATTAGTTATTGTAATTAATTAGTTATTGTATCTATGTAGCTAATAAATCGTTGTTATCCTGTTAAATTGGTGTCCTCGTTTGCTCGTAAATCGCCTGTCATCTTACAGACACACTTCTCCCTCCGCCACTCGACCCAAACCATTAAAGCCCGTTACAGCGGTAACAGAATCCTTCCATCCATCCTGACAGTGAGAAGGTTTAACAACCTGTTGCCAGATCGGGAGACCTACACCCTCCCCGGCGGTTCACATATATTTGTTTAGTTTTTATTAAACGATTTAATATTTTTTAGAAATGGAGATGGTATAACCGTTAGATTAAAAAAAAAACGGCGAGTAAAAAAATATTTCTATGGTGTTTCGGATATGTGCGATCAAATTTAATATTAGTTTTTTTTCCAGGTTCAATAAAAACACCTTTTTAGTTTTTTTAAAATAGACTTTTATTTGAGTAAACTATTGCTACATTGATTACATTTAATTTTTATATTAGATGGTAATTTACCCAAACGGAAATTATTGTGTATAAATCTCATCACAAAAGCATCATTGAATAGTTTAGTAGTAGGTTGTAACATTCGCATATCTTGATTTCTCGATATTTTATAGAGAAAATATAGACAAAAGTATCCACACGTAAAACTATATGGTCCCTGCAAACTCAATTGATTCCAGCGTAACTGTTTCGAATTCCGACGAATAAAGTTTATAATCGATCGGATTTTAGGAGGTAATCCGTACGAGTCGAAGTAAAAACACGTCGAATCTTGAAAATATATCGCTATCCAATGTTGTCAAGGCTTTAAACTGTTATCGGTATTAACTATAAATCCTTTCTTCTTTCCGATTTTTTCGGGTAACAAATCCGACGGATAGATGCCTCCAAATGTCTTGCTAATTTCAACATCTCCTAATGCTAGTTTCCATGGAGTAAGCGTAACCATTGTTTAGTAGTCAATGTAAATATTCCGAGATCGATCGATTTCTATTGTATTACGATACTGTAAAAAGCACACGACGTTAACCGTCTCCGGTAAAGATCTTTTGAACTTTAAGTCTATACCAGTGATTCTCAAACTTCGATCCACCGCCCCCTTTGTTCCATAAAGTTATACCCAACGCCCCCTAACTCATTTTCTCTTGTGTGAAAAAAAAATTGGAAATATTCTTAGGAAAACTTTTCTATGAATCTCACACTTTGTGCCCTTACTGTAAATTGTTCTCATCATCTGGAAACCATTGAACGCAATGTTTCCTTTTATCAGCCCCAATTTTGCCTTTGGTCACCATTCAATACTTTGCCTCTATCATAGATCTATTCATCGCGCCGGAAGGGGGCGTTATTGCTTACTTTGAGAAACGCTGAGCTAAAATAAAAGTCAATGTGTTAGAAATATTCAAGTTGTGACCTTCAATAAAAAATAAAAAATATATAAAATGTCAACATTTTATATATATTCCGTCGAATTTTTATATATAAAATTTGTCTGCCGTCGCCCCTCTATATTTCCTTAACGCCCCCCAATTCTCTTTGAGCCTTCTACTGCCCCCCTGAAAGCCTCCAGCGCCCACAAGGGGCGTTATCGCCCACTTTGAGAAACGCTGGCTTAGAATGTCAATCGGAAAAATCGAGTTTTGACTCTGACTCTGGTAGAAATGACAAAATTTGGAAATAAATGTAGCATTCCTTTGAAAGCAAAATCGTCCCGTTGTAAGTACTGTATAATAAAGACATAAAAAATTCTTAGCTGTCAGAAATTATCATCGCGTGTCATACGAGCTAAAGTTTCAAAATTGGATCAATACTTGCGGACGAAAGGAAGTGTCAAATTGATTAACTGATCAAATTAGGAATTTAGTAAAGAGATCCTTTAGAAAGCCAGAAATTCAAGGAGAAAGAATGGTCGCTTCTCCCTGGCTTATCCTCTCCCTGTTTATGCTCTGTGTCGGTTTCCCTGTTGTCTCGGACTTCATTTAGGTTCTGCCGTATTATAAAGATTTTTCGGTTTTTTAATATTAACTTTATCCAGTTTGATGTTGCATTAATGCTCAATTAAGTATATCCTAATTATAATAAATTAAGATAAACTTACTGTTATTTCATTATCTTGTTAATTTTGCTCGAAGCGTTAAGTTTATTTTCATATTGAATTTTATATCAAGTTCACTCCAAAATCAAGGCCACGTTGATAAGTAAAGGTGGAGTCGTTACAACTGCTTCAAGATCAAATATAAATACATCGACCCCATTCTTAGCTTTGCTTGCCAAGACACTGACTGATCTGAGTGGATAAAAACACTAGAACACTGGCAATAGTGGATCTAGAAATGTTTAGAGGTGATGAAGAAATAAAGGAAACAATATGATATACAAAGTTTTTTACTACTTAAACTACCAGGCTTTATTCGGAAAAAATCCTCAGAAGTGGTGTGCAGTTGCGCGCTGCTCATTCCCTTGAATCCGTCCCTAAAAACTGCTGGTTAGTCGTGGTCAATGCTTCTCCAATGGGTTGACCACATAGTTTTTTGGGTTTTCTGCACGAGTTTAACACATAAACAGGACCCAATCTCCAAAGAT